TATATATATATATATATATATATATATATATATATATATATATATATATATATATACACACATATATATACATATATTTCAAGATTATTGTGTTCATGAGCGTACTTATAAATTTACAATGTTAAAAAGTAGTCTCTTTATCTGAGTATACAACATTGTATCAGTACAAAATTATGATTTTAGATAAACGTGAGTTTTAGTGAAAAGACCTGCTCTTTATTCGAGCTTAATTGTGCTAACAGTTGATGGAATGTATTGAATACAGTGAATATGGAGAATATGGAGTATGAGTGAGCAAACAATCGATATATATATATATATATATATATATATATATATATATATATATATATATGTATTAAAGCGTTTTTACTACAGAATATACAATGGGAGTATCATATTTTCGGTAATCGATTGATTATTAATATTAAATTTTAAAATCTATTCTCTTATTAACTTATTTCATTAATATGCTGCAATATAAGAATAAATATCATTTTATTGTTTATATTTTAATTATAATCTTCGATTTATTGATGTGTATTATATAGCTATATCAAAAAACTCTAGTCATACTAGCGCTGTTGATTGTTTTTTATATATGCTGTAGCTGCTAGGTGTGTGTGTGTGTGTGTGTGTGTGTATATACATATATATATGTGACGGAAAAACAAAAGAATACACACAGATGACGCACAATGTAGCGGCAAATTCAGGACCACTTTATTGATTTTTATGTTAAAAATTATATAAAAAGCAACTATGGCAGCTCAAAGTTCGATGTAGTTAAATATTACAAAATAATAATGTGAACGCGAATAATATTTACAAAATGACAAATTGTAGTATCCTAGTTCTCCCTTCTACCGTAATACAGATTATCGCTCGCAAAATAAGCTCATTAAGAATCCTGTAACTATTATCGTCAATTTTATAAGAAAATTGCGAAGAACAAATAAAATTTTTTTGTAAAGCATAAGTTTTTTATCTGAACGTGATAACTGAATTTGAATCTGAAGCGTGATAACCGACTAGTATAACAATTTGTTTATGAGTGAACGAAAACAATAATAATGACCATATTACATTGTTACAATTAAGATCCGAGTTGACTGTAAAAGAGAGCGATGGCCGGATCCTCGCATTCGGAAGTTATTAAAACATCTCGAAACTTATCAAGAATTTGTAACAATTGAGATCTACGAATGTTTTCTAGATACATAATTTCTTCTAGATGATGACCGCCGTTAAAATAACCAAGGCGACACAGTCTATCGAGTAGTTTCCTGTCATCGGAAGGAATATCATAATCTTCCGATTGATAGTCGTACAGTCCATCTTCCTTATCTGTCAGTGACAATTCTTCTTTGATTTCAGTAGGTGTGCCTTTTGGCGTGTCGTTCAAACTCCACGTGCTTTCGCTTTTTTCTATTGTGTCTGTATCATGTATATCTTGATCCTTTATATCCTAAAATCGAGAAATTTTGAGAAAATGTTAACTAAAAAATTCAATGATATTTTATGTTCTACACATTGCAACAATAAGTAACATTGATATACACGGTTTTGTACTGGAGCAGCTGAAATGTATTTCTATGGTAATTTTCGACGCTGATTCCAAATCCGCAGTCCGTTTTTCGTAGGTCGTCAGATTTTCGAGATATATGAAAGACCTATTTTTTACTGTTTTTGGCCACAATAGCCCATTTTATTCAAAAATTTAGAAGTGAACAGCTGCCAAACTTTATCTTTTGTGTTGTTTTGGGTCCGTTTCACGCAATAAAGACCAGCAGTAATCGTTGAGCATGCTTTCATTCCAAAAACCAAGGTAATTACGCAATTACTCAATTCTTCGCATATCCTGGTGCATTCGCTCGCCTTGCTCATCGCTTACTTCGCCCAATAAAAACCTGACGACCTACAAAAATTCTGACACCGGATTTGAATTCAGGAAAAATTACCATAAAAAAGTTATCAGCTGTTCCAATACAAAAGTTTATCGAAATTTGTAAACTAGTGTAATTTTTAAGGAAGGATATTTTTTCAGAAATTTCCTTCTCGAATTTTTTTATCATAGAGTTACAGAAAACATTATATTAAATTAAATTTAATTATAATTTAATTAAATTATATTTAATATTTTTTTCAATTTTTATGTTCTCAGAAATATTAATAAAGATATGAAAAATCATAATTGTAGCTTACCACTGATAAACGTCCATGTACTGTTGGCATATATTGCACGTATGTGTGCAATTGTAAAAGCAAATGATTCCTTAATAGCCATATGATTATTTTTACTAATTGCGTCTGTTGCTGTGGTTGGCTTAGAGGATTTAACTTTTGACTAATGGAAGTCGGTAAGGAAAAATCACTAATTACCTAAAGAAGAATATACTGTTAATATAAATCTTATCAATCTTTAATGATTAAGACTTTTAATATAAATATTAACCTCAATATAATCATAAGGCTAATTACATATACATACATACATACACACACACACATACATACATACACACATACATACATACACACATACATACATACATACATACATACATATATATTTTTTTTTATATACACATACGATAATAATCTCTACATACATAATAGAAAATGATTAACACATACTTGAAGTAAACAGACTCCTGGAAATTGTTCAGAGAAAGAGTCTAGTAATTGATTGGTTAAAACGGCGTCGGGAGATACAACGTAGACGTTGCTTTCACAAAGCGGGTAAATTATCGTTGCCTTTGCCCAATAAACTAAGTGGCCAGTTAGCTGAAATACTTGTGCGAGTGTTAGATCCGAATCTGCTGCTAAAGTCTGCAAACTTTTCAGTGGATTGTAAATCTGAATCAAACGTTTAAGTGCTGGTGAACAGTCTATTTGCAAAGAATCCAACAAATCTAATGGCTCAATTAGCAAAAGTATGCCATGGTAGGGTCTTAAGCTGTTCAAGCATCTGAAAAATATAGAGTTATAATATTAATATAATATTAAAAATATTTAGGTAATAGATGACACTTTTCTACAGTTATATTTAGGAAATATTTCTACTTAACAGATACCCAGTAAACAAGGAATATTAAATTAACGTTTAGAAAAGTTGACTTTATGTGCATTGTTTGGACATTTTTTAATAATATTGCATTTATATTTTTCATATGTTATTTTGTGATGTTTTTTCTGAATGTTATTTAAACGTTTTAAAAACATCACAAAAAGTATATTTTTGAAATGTTACTTTAACATTTATTTGAGATCAATGCAACATCTTAAAAATATTTCTGATGATTAAAATGTTATAGCAACCCTATTTCAACATTATTGAAACTTCTAAATTGTGGTCAAAGTATGTTCATAATGATGTTTGATACAATATTAAACACTACATATTTGACAATATTACAAATTCTTCAATATCATTGTAGCAACATTGTATCAATGATTTCTTGCTTACTGGATAAGTACTTTTAGATATCAATTTGTCTACAACAAAAGAGATCTGGCATTATTAAAAGATATAGAATTATATATAGTAACAGTATACAATTAAAAAAATCAATTTTTCTTAATGAAATTTAGCAGAGATCCAAACCTTTCTTAATCAAGACTTGAACCTTTACTAAACATGTATATATATACATATATTATACTAAACATATTTACATGCATACAGAATATAATTGAGTGAATTAATACTTGAAATTGAATAGAACATTAAGTTTTTAATAAAAATTAAAGTTTTACTTATATTCTATATAAGAATCTTGTAATTATCAATATATTATTGTAGAACGAACCTATCTATAATTTCAGGATCAATAAGTAAGCCTTTTTTATGTGATTGGTGGACCTTTTGAGGAAGACAAAAGCGCACTTGGATCCATTTATTAATCATGATATTGACTATACCAGAGGTGCTGAGATTGCTAAACACAAATTTCAAACCACGTGCAAGTGAACTTCTTTGAAGTATTAACTCATATGGTGATTCCTCACAATCGCTTTCACCTTCAGATCTAAACATGTAGTTTGTTTTCATAAAATCACATGACTCTTTTTTTTTAGCAAGAAGATATATTTTTATTCACCTTCCAGCAACTTCATCGTGAGTAGATACCATCATTTTTATCTCATCTGTTAGAAAGCCACACCTTTTTTCTTCATGCCTCAATGCTATGCCTAATCTAAACATGTAATACTATTTTTATGATTTACAAGCAATTCTTACTTATAAAAATTGCTTTTCTATTTATAAAAATTACGTTACCTTTTGCTTAAATCATAGTAACACCTTACTATGGAATGACTGGCTTGTGCTTGTAGTGCAAACACTATATTGAATAGCATAGAAGAATTGACTTCTTTTAAGCCACGAGATGGAACTAGAGTTGGATGACCAACAAAGCGAACATCATTTACCTTCAATTCAAATTTTTGCTCACATAATTCTGGTTTAACAGCAAATAAAGTAGATAGTACTCCATCTGTCAAGCCTGTTAAATTCCCATTGCTTATGTTTGATGTTGGAAATGGTAGAGACTGTTACATAAAACAGTATTAGATATGTCAGAATGTATCAAATTGTAAGAGTGTATTGGTATTAAAGTATTATATTAAAAAAGTAACACACACACAAATATCTTTAGAATATTGTAGTACTTTTTATTTTACAAAATGTTTATTATGTAAATTTTTCATAAATATATAATTACATTCTACAAAATTAAATTTCATATGAAGTTTTATATTAAACAAAAAAATACCTGCAATAAATCTTCAGTATTAGTTAGAGAATAAGGATTTTTTCGTCTGGTGCATTGATTCGGGTCTCTCACATGATTTGTCATGTGTGGATATCGAAATAACAGTCTGTCACCCTTGCTATCACTTTTTACCAAAATTATACTCAGTGGATTAATCTCCATGTTTGTTTAATTATCATCAGCTGATCTCTAATCAGGTTAGGTTAAATTTGATCTTCCTAATTGCAGCATCTACATTTTTTAATAACTTCTTGTACATAACGTATTGAAGTTCACGGTTGTTTTCAACAGAGGGAGCTGCTTTGCATTGTTACAAAATTCGTGAATTTGATTGGTGTATACTTTTAACTTTAGATGAATCTAAAAGAATATATCAATCAGATTCACAAATTTTTCACACAATTGCAAATCAACTTTCTTTGCTGTCTGCAATCTATATTTTAGTACTTTATTCAAAATATCTATTGGGCGCGTTCAATGGAAAAAGCGTTCAGTGAGCAATCAGCGATTATTGGTTCTTACTGTTACATCCCTACATAGACCAATTACATTGACGAATTGCTCAACTGTTATGCAACTGTTGAATTCGCTAAACGCACTTATTGGTTTATTCGTGTTGCTCGAGTTATATGACAAAATCCATAAAAAGGAGGGTGTATATCAGTTGGACACGGGGCAATTGGACACAGTCCAATCACAAGTCGCTGTTCCAAGGGACCCTACAAATGTCTCTAATCATACGGTGCTGTGATTGGCTGTGTTCAAATGCACCGTGTCCAAGTGCACCGCTCCCAAAAAGGAAGGGAATAGCGTTGGTACTAGCGAAGACCCCTAGGTAACTCAAATTAAATTTCTGTGGATTAGTAACACTGAATAAGTAGTAACACATGCTGGTCACACAAGCTTTTTTGATGTGAGTGTGTGTGTGGCTTATGCGTGTGACGTTTTGACATAGCATGTTCGTCGCCATATGCATGCACGTCGTGTATATACGTAAAGTAATAAATATCTTATAAATGTACATGCGTGTGTAAAGTACTCTGACGTGTTATTGAAATCAAAATAAATAAAACTGCAAGGTGAAAACAATAACAAAAGAAGAAAACTTATAAAAATAAAAAAATTTTTGTTGATAAATAATCCTTATAAGAAATTAATAGTGGTGCTGTAATAAATTGGCAAGTGACAAATTACTCTTGCGTCTTGTAATTTTATTATTTTTGTATAAGCAAAATAAAGATACTGCAACAATACTTAATGAAACAATAATTAATCACTGACCAATATATTACAGCCAGAGAAAATATATATTTTCTAAAAGGATATTATTTAAATAAACAATATTAAATTTTAAATTTTGTGAAATACCTACATAAATGTAATTCACTGTTGCGGCTATGTTCTTCAAGGTAGAATCAATTTGTCACCGTCAACTGGAGAATGAAACCTGTAGGAGATGATGAAAGCATGAAAAGGAGAATAGAATGAAGTAAATTGATGGATAGATAAATGTCAGATAAGTAACTAATATTCTAAACCTATATAGATGTATATTATTTATATCTTGAACATACTTGAATATGCAATACAAACTTAAAGTTAACATATTTGGTTATCTGTGTCTTTGTGAGCACTATAATTTTAGATGTTGGATCGATTCTTTTCTTCGATTAATGTTTCTGTTCCAGCTTTAGGAACGAAGATATAATGCTTTTCCAAAACTGCTGAGATTAAATCATAACAGACGATCCAGCCAGCAAAGGCGAAACTGATAACTGATCTACTCAGCAAAAACAAGACAGATGATTGATCCAGCTAGTGAAGACAAAACCTTTAACATTACCCAGACTCACCAGAAAAAATCTTCAAAATTATGAAAAAATAATATAAAAAAATCTGACGTCAGACTGGCGACAGGATCTGTTGAATTCGAGCAGGATCTGTCGACAGATCCATAGACATCTGCGTCCCCAATCTGCCGTCAGACTGTTGACAGGGTCTGCGAACAAACTCTGACGACAGATTGGCGGCAGATTGCGCGCAGATCCTGTCGTTTCGTAGGTTCTTCAATTAAATTTTTGGTAGAAAATTTTCTCATAATTTTTCATAATTATTCATAGAATAAGCGTTTTCTTATAAATACTCGTAAAATACAATGAAAAAAAAATTTTTTTCTACATTATTTTTTCATAATTTTTAAGATTTTCTCTGGTGAGATTCGAACTTGAACCGAAGACATTTTTTGGATAATCGTCCGTCGCCCTAGACACTACGCCAATTCCTCACTTGATAAAAAATGTATTCTCACTTAAAGTTTAAGGAAGAAAAATCTTAGAGTTTGTTCGCTTTTTAAATCGCAAAATATTGACGAAATCGTTTAGCGTATAAATAATGTAAGAGAGATCGGTATGATAATTCGAAATTAATTTTCTACCAAGGGCTGTATAGAAAATTATTGCAATAAAACATCAGATAATGACATTTTTCCATCATGTTAATAAAATACTGTACTTTTACATGTGCGAATTAATTTGGTCGATCGTTCCGTTCAGATTGTATTAAGTTTTATCAAAATCGAAACATGGTATATTTTTAAATAAAGCATCACAAAAATTCTGTAAAAGTTATTTACATAGCGAGATTAATATTTTCTTTGGTGCTGTTGCCTTCAGTACTTTTTGCATGATAGTTAAATCGTTCAGATTTAATGACATAATAACATTAAAAAAAATAATAATATGAGAAATTGTATGAAAAATTATGAGAATAATTTTTACCAGGAATGGCATATGTACGCCTTTAAATGGCCATTTAACCGTTGTACTATTCTATACTTGTATTCGTTATTTCTCTATTATTGTTGCTTTTTTTATAAAAAAATGTGTAATACAATTTTAAAAAGTAGATATTGTTTTTTATTGTATATATGTGTACAATTATTGCACAATATAATTATCTTGACTCCTCTGCAGCAGTTTTACATGGTGTGTATTTGAAACTGCCCCATTTAGTAACGTACATATGGCTTTTGATAGAATTAAATAGCCTATCTAGGAAACAGGCTCTGCGCGCAGTCTGTCACCAGTCTGTCGTCAGAACAGATTCTGCGTACAATCTGTTACCATTCTGTCTACAGACACTGTTAAGAGACTGCGTAAAATTTGCTCGCATAGATTTGGCTATCTGGGTTGCTTTAATCTTTAATTATTTTAAAAATAATTAACTGTGGTTGGTCAATTTCTTACGGCTTAAGAATTAAAGCAAGGTTTTGAATAAGGGATTCTTCTTCTTGTTGTTCTGGACAGGAATTTGCAATGATTCTATTAACCAACCTTTCGGAATAATCTCAATTCCTCGTTAAAGAAAGTAGTGGCTCGTAGCGAAGACTTTGGAACTAATTTATAGAAATAACGGGTCTCTAATATATTCCTTAGACCCGTTATTTTTTAAAATTAGTTCCATTGTTTCCGCTACGAGTTGCTTTCTTTAACGATGAATTGAAATAGTGATAGTTATAAACAGTATCTGTATTGACCAAATACTTATAAAAACAACAGATCTAATGTACTCCTTGGATTCTTTTTGCACTGCTGAGTGCATTTAGTACCGTTTAGCAAAAAATCAAAATGGTTATGCAATCGTTGACCTGCTGAATACAGCCGATATTTTAAATATTAAGATATATTAAACAAACTTTTAAGTACGTATCCATCTATTTTCAATATAGATCGGATACAGTAACAATTGCAAAAAAACTTTGGGAACACAGATTTGGGAACACAGATTATTAGTTCTTATTTTGTGTGAAATAGAACGTTGCATTATACTATATGTAATGTAACAAAATATTACTGTTTTATTTATTAATATGAAATTTATTATACTAAAATTAAATATGTGCAAATAGGCTTTAAGTTCAAGATAAATTAAAATATAATACTAATATTCTGTACTAATATATTATACTGTTTTAATATTACGTTTATTTCATAAAGTTCTTTTTAAACATTGTTTAGACACACTTTCCTTAGGAAAAATTTCCCCTTAGCAAACTTTAAGTTGTTCAAATTAAAGTTGCTTAAAGTTACTTAAAGTTATTTATAGTTGTTTAGAAAGCACTTAAATATTATTTTTGAAAGTAGCTAATGGCATTCAAGTAGTTTTGCTCAAGAAATAAACATATACATCTCTAATTTAAAAACGGATTTATTAGTCTCGATGTATAAATTAAATAAAGAAATCTCATACAGCGCAAATGTCCAAAATATATCCCAGAGATGCGTGATATCATGGTTTTACAAATTTTATTCTTTCATGGGAGCGCCTACTATTTTATCTATTCCTGTGCAGTTAGATGACAATATGTGTTGTTAATATTTTCGCTCTAACTAGAGAACTCTACCCAGTAAGCAAATTGAGCGCAGACTGCGCGCAGATTGGCAGCAAATTTGATCAAAAACCCACAGCAAAACCATAGCTATTTGTGTCTACGGTTTTGGCGACAGATCTTGCTGTCGGGCAATTGGTGCCAAATTTGCAGCAAAAATCGCGCAAAGTTTGCAGCGCAGCAAGGTCTGCACGGTTTCTGTCGCCAATCTGCCGTCAAATCGCTACAAGCTCTGCGCGGTTTTTGCTGCAAATTTACAGTAATTATCCGACAACAAGCTCTGCCGCATATCTGGCGACAATTTGGCAGCAAGATTTGATATAACAGATCCTGCATCAAATTTGTTATCTATTTGCCATCAAAAGTTGATAACAAGCTCTGCTTGAAATCTGTTCGCGCAGGTTTGGTTATCTGGGCTAAATGATTTTCTTAAGACTATCTGGTACTTCAGATGTGCAGTCTTCCATCGATGGTGCTTAGTCTTTTTGATCTTTTTAGACTAGTGCTGAATAATTATTGGAAGCAAGAGTCCAATTCTAATTGTATAGAATATTTAAAAATTCAACAATACATTAAAAATATAAATTACTACCCATTGAGAGAAACCAACCCTGGCGAAAATAAAACTCTTTATAAACCGTTCGATGAGAATTTCCTGAGAGTTTATACGCTTTCAAACGTTATATGAACGCTTACTCAACATCGTTAGATTTTGAACGCTTTCAGAACGCTTTCAGAACTTATCAAATGCTATATATAACATTTCGTGAAAGTTCTGCAATGCTGAAGCATTGCTTTTCAAAATAAACGCTGATACACTTTCGTACAGAAAGTTTGCTATGACTTTTAAAACGTTTAAAAAACACTTTTCCTACAACGCCGTAAGACAAGCGTTTTCTCTTCGTTCAGCAAACGCTTTTTCAATACGCAAACGCTTTTCAAACGCTACAGTGTTGCAATTTCCGCTCTACTAACAATTTTTAAACTCTTAACGAACTCCCGCAAACGCTTACGTAAACGCTAAACAAACGTTTATGAAACTTCTTATTTTCGTCAAGGAAGAAAAAACTGATTAATACATAAAGCATAAATTGAAAGCAGATTGTATGGTACATAAAGGTGCATTATTGAAAGCTTTAAGAAACAATTTAACACTTACAACGAGGTAGTTAAGTAGTTAATTTAGATATATATTACATTATATTTTTTAAACTTAAAATATAGTTCCGTTATCTATTCTCTTTGGGAAAAATTGTAAATTTATCTGTTTCTCCGCTAGTTTGAAATGTCAACTGTAGTCATCGTAATTATATCTATCGTCGCAATATATTTATTATTTTCTTTTTTCTCAATAAAAAAAATTGAATCAATTATTTCTCCCTTTGCACTGTTATTAGCTTTTCACAAACTAATACATTTTAAACGACTTATCATTCAATAGAAGAATCGCATGTAACAATGATCTATCTTTTTTCTAAATTAAAGAATAGAAAATGAAGAAATTAATACAACTAATATTCTCAAGAATAATCTCAAGAATTATTTTCTCGAATTTTTGAAAATACAGGATTAGATCATTGTCGCACCAAGTCCATCAATTATCATGATTATTAATTATCGTCCATTGTCAATAATTTTGATTACATCTGAGCCTGTAGAGATAAACTCTCGCGATGTTAATATTGATATTAACATGCCGCTAAAAGCGCTTCAATTTCTGTCGAGACTAGATGGCACCGATGCCGCTTGTATCGTGCTAATATTCATGCCGGGCGGCCAGTTCTTATCCATTTTACTGTCTGCCCTACTGCCGCTCTTCGGTGTAACCTTCGTAATTTCGAGTTTACCGCTGTCGCGATTCTTGTAATACAACACGCCAGCCGCGCCGCCCATTCCTATCCCGCCGAGTATCATCAGCCACTTGATAAAGCTGCAAATCGAGGTATAACCCAAATAATACATATACGTCAGAAACGTTTCTTAAACGTATCTATAGTTTCAGAACTGTAAAGCACCAATAAAAAATGTTTTAACAAAAACCTTTCTAAAACCTTATTTATGAAATGTTTATAAAATGTTTTAAATCGTTTATAAAACGTTTCTTCAACGATTTTTTTTGCAAAAATAACGTTTCACCTAACGTTTTTTGAGTGGACATTTTTACTCATAAGAAATATTTAAGAAACGGTTATGAAACGTTTGGTTCTAACGTTTATAAAACATTTCTAAAACGTATGTGTGCTACCTGGGAATGTTCAAATTAATTTGTTAAAACTTTTAATTGTGACGAACATTGACTTATACTTGTTAAATTAACGTTGATCGATCTATTTGTGTTAGCAATAAGTTATTAATAAACATTGGCACTTAATTCGATTTGATACTCACTTAACGGCCGCCATCGCCTTGAATACCACCTTCACCTTGTTGACGAATGCGTCATCGAGAAGTATCCCTTCTTCTACCCAGAACAGCGGCAGCAACGCCTCCGGGAAGTTTTTCATCAGTTTGAACTTCGGCACCGCGTGTATAAACATATTGAACTGCAACCTCTTGTGTGCCCTTATCGGGGTAGCCGTCATCGGCTCGAAATCCATGTCGATCTCGTGTTCTTCCTGTAAACATAGGCTGTTTAATTAACGGCAATTACACTTCTTATTTATTTAATCGTAGTTATATATTGTATTTGTTTTATCTATTCAATTCGCGATAAGAATTAGGTGACCATTTATATATTTTTGAAATAACGTCACCTGATTAGGATGCAAGCCATCAACCATTTCCAACCAGTTCTTCTCGGAGTCATAGAAGTGTGGTAGGGAACCGATGATGGGAACACCTAGACATTTCGTCATGTCATAGAGATTCCTTGTCAAACAAGTTTCCGGTGTCGGACAGAAGCACTTCTCCCTCTCGTTTTTGCTCATATCACCAAGATCAGCCGTGTAATGAAGAGTATTGATGCCTGTAAATTTTTCCTGGATTTCATAAAATATGTCGTGACACGACAAAGTTTAATAGCGATAAACATGTTTTCTTATAATTGTATAATAAGAAAAACATTAACAAGTATAACACAAGTTTATAAAAAATGTTATATTTAAGATGATTTGCTTTAACTTTATGCGTAAGTATATTTTAGATCCTAAAATATGTAATAAAAACCCAGGTAGCAGGCTCACATCAAAATGATGTCCAAATCTGGTCAGTTTATGACTAAAAATGACCAAAAATGACCAAGGAATGACCAAATATGTCGTGAAAATACCATTAAAATGACGGTCTAATGTCACAGAGCGATAACGACATTTTAAGACGACTTAATGACGTTTTTATGACGTCTTTAAACGTCAATAATACGTCATTAAGATATTGTACAGAAATGTCATTTAAGATGTCACAAAAAGAGATGTATTAAAGACGTCGTTATTTAGTCACTTAATGTCAATCGACCAGTTATGACCAGTTTTTGACGTTATTTTGACGTGAGTTTGCTACTTGGGAAATAGCGAGAAAAAAATAGCGTTAGGTTTAATCAAATTCATTTCAATTATAAAAAATTATGGTATATCTTATGTAATAATACACACACATAAGGTGAAGCAATAATTATTGCCACCTTGAATGTCTTCGAAACAAAAAATAAAGATGACTTTAAAAAAGTATTTCTCTCATTAAGCAGAAGATTTTCGAACGTCTGAAAATCATTTTTGTGTTTTGCTTATATTATAATTATATACAGATATATTTGAATGTAAAAAATTTTAATTTATGTAATTATATAAGGTATATCTTACATAATTTCACTTTGGATTTCAAGATAAAAGAACTAGACACACGTACCTTTAATTTTAGTTTCATGACTGTAATGCGCGCTGAGACTCCGACAAATCTCGTAGCCAAACGAGACGATGTCGTCGTCTGGTCCAAATAGAGGTGCGAAGATCGTTGAGTCGGTGCCGTTGAATTCGTTGCAGTGATCCTCCGGCCAAATGTCCAACGCGGGCTTACCGTCAAACTCCAGGACACGACCGACGTCCTTGAAGTTCTTGACGCCGCGCAGAACTCGCATGCGCTGTGGTACAACGCTTCCGTTTTTCTGAAAAAATAAACAATTTAAACGGCCTGTTTCGTTGCCTCTTCTCGCATTATTTGATTATGTATTTTTCGTATATATTTTAAGAGAAAAAAATAATCTTTTCCCGTTTGCGGTAAAACTGCGGCCTTGACAGTTCGCGGCTAACTCTATGCATGACTCGTTGCTTTTTTGATATACAATTAGCATGATGATTTATCCATTTAACGTGCTTTCAGAAAGTTAGTGATTCTAGAGTTGTATTGCAACCGATAGTAGCATATAAACACGAGAAGAGAGTTCTTAAAAATCCATAGAATATTTAACAACCTAAATCGGAATGTTTAAAAGATAGTTTAAAAGAATAGTTTGATTTCAGAATCAACAGTCGGAAATAATTATACTTCATTATTATCATCCCACAACATACATTATTATCTTCCCACAATATAAATTTAATTTATACAATTTATAAATTTATAAACACACACATATAAACGGAATTTTTAATGTTTAATTTAAAGATTTAATTTTCAAAGATTTAATTTTCAGACAAAATTCCAAAAGACGTATTAAAAGCGACTGAAAGATGTGCAAAAAACATCTAAATAAAATAGAGTGGCTTTTGGACGTCTTTAAGAAACCTTTTAGAAGTTAGTGCTTATCTGGGTTTAAAACTGATCGGAATTTTAATCAGCTTAGAATCGCGAAGACACGCACCCCACCGAATAGAGAGAACTTGTAGCGGTCCTCGCCGTCCGGTATCAAGTCCTTCGCTTCTGTCTTCAACACGTTGCACACCGCCTTTCCGGCAAAGTCCGTCACCGTGCAGTCGACCGGCAAACCATCGAAAAGTATATCTTTTGCCTTGGCCTTCACGAATATCGAATCAGGGCTGTGGAAGATGCTGTTCACCGCCTTGCCTGCGACGGACCATTTACACAAGTCATGAAACCTACAGCGATTCTGAATCGTTAGCGGCGAGTTCGATTTCAGGCGCAGTGATCGCACGAGAACTCGACTGTCGTCGCGACAGTTAAGAAAGCTAATCGTCGCGTCGTGAAAACACCATGTCTATAAAAACTAGCGAAACCATATGAGTAATTTATACCATCGTCCAAGATGCACATGCGCACCTATGCTATGGAAAAGAAGGTGTCTTGCGTTCCACTTTAAAGGTTCTGGCACGCGTTATAGTCCGTGCCGCGACCCTGCGAGATACGACCGATACGATTGCGGGGACAATCGATACGCGACATTGAACAGAAATAATGATATCTGTACGAGCGTGAGTAACCGAAGTTGATACGAATCAACAGACACGGACGAATATCTGACACGTGTAATATTTTTTCGCGATTAAATTCGCAGAAGGTTTCGATCTTTATTGGTATTCTCTTCAGTCCAGAAAGGACATCATGAGAACACTACACCATGAATCCCGTACCGACAACCCCGACCGCGGTGGGGTTCTCCCTCAGAGTGGCCATCACCATGCCAAGGATCATGAGATGAGGGAACACCATATCCTCGTCGCCGGTTAGACCGTTACTCTTCGGCTTGTTGAAGAACCATGTCGACTTTTGGCTGTATTCCACGCTGTCGTCTTCTTCCCGGTCCACGAGGTCCAACTTCATCTTGTACTCACTGAAATGAACACGTGACAGGATCGGTGCCAGAAACTCGAAAAGATTCGAACAATTCATGTTAATCTTGACAGTAACATCCCGATAACACAAACTATTCGAAATGTTTCTTAAAGACATATAAAAAATATCCTATTTCTTTAAATATCTTTCGTTTTTAAGACTTATTTCTGATTAATAAATTTATTATGATTCTAAAAAATTTGGAAAATTTTATGAAACTTAATATATGAAACTTTTTCTGTGTTTCATATATTATGTAGATTTTAATATGTCGAATTTAACTTTAACATTCGTGTTCTAACTGCAAATGTAAAAACGACTAACTCGTAGAAGAACGGTCCAACTTCATTCAACTTCGGCTTTCCACCCTGCATGATCTCGTCAGGGTTGGTTACATTAAACAGGTATATTTTGAAGTCCAATGGCAGTGGAAACGCTGTCCACATTTCGCGTATCTCGCTGCCCGGCTTTAACGCGATCGCCTGTGAACATTAAAAATCTTGTTAATTCGTCATTGATCACGATGAAGGTGTGTGATGTAATAAATCATGAATCACGAAACGAAGTTTTCATTTACAAAGCTGTGAAAAGATTTTGTGCAACACAAATCTTCATTTTGTTAAAAATACATATGAAAATAGCTCGAAAATGAGCTTATTGGCGTCGCGGTTAAGGAAGATATCTCGACACGAAACTTGTAGTTTAGCAGTTAAAACAAATCTTGCAATTTCCCGGAAATCGTGAAAATTGCAGCCTCGACGTAATGATATCTTTAATCTTGTCCCGTGAAGACGAATTAAATGAATATCTGCTGGTAATCTCGCTGACCGTCTCCGTCTTCGTGTCACGCTGCCCGCGAGACGAACAATGAAATAAACCACATCAATCCTCCGTCATATTCTTCTTGCGTGCAATGCAATCGGGGACTGAACTGGAAAATGCCAAAACAATATATTGTAACGTACAGCGACTTGCAGTAAGGTTCAAGGATTCCACGATGTATAGCTTTGCTGAATGACTCAAGTATTTCGCGGTATGCAGCGCAGCTGTAACGACTAGTTACATCAAGCGCGTGTGCAGGATTCTTTCCTAGAAATGACATGCTGAGGTTTTCCGAATATGACGGAACAAGAGTTCAATTGCACCAAAATTCCTTTATTTACTTAAAAAGGAAACATCACGGTAGAAATTAAAAAAAATCGATTTTTCTACCACATTTTCTGAAAAATTAGTTTTAGAAAATTGTTTAAAGAATAGTTGGAAATTGACGAAGTTACAGTTAGTTAAAGTTATTTGTGCACAGCATCGTTAAGTGAAATGTATGTAAAGATGTTTAGAAAGCTATTGATTCGATTGATTTCTACGTTGCAGCAAATTCTTTGTAATCGAATTCTTTTCAGTTCGTACACGTATCGATTCCTTCTTCTTCAAAAATTAGTCGAGAAAACTAGTCATACAAAAAACTGATTAATTTTCGCCGAAAATTCGTCGAAATTTTTTCCTACAGAATCAGTTATTTCGTGAAAATAAAACGTTCTTCAAAACCTCTACATACAAAAAAAGTCACTTTCATGTTTCTAAAACCTTTTAATTCATTAACTTCAGATTAGTCGTTTAAAAGCGATCATCTGGGCAATGCAATCATATTTTTCGACAGAAGTCTCATTTTATAGAATCTAGCTCGTCATAAAACATATATTTTAAATAAATATAAAAGTTTTTTTGAAATATGTCTTAAATACATGTAAAATGATTATTTAACAAAATGTTTACTTGAAGAGAAATTTTTAAAGATAATCTTTTTTTCTTTGTTCTCATCGTGGTTTTCCTCTTTAAAATATATTTCGTGCTTCTCGAGCTTCTAAAATGTGGGCTTTTATGAAAGTACTAACAATATAATAGATCAGAATAAAATGTAGTAGCTGAAAAGAAAACCGCAATTAGACGGACAATTGTCTCACACAGTGTACGTATAATAATTTTTATAAAATTCATATATATTATTTAAAGCCATATTAATAAAGCTTGACATTCTGAAAAGAATCATCCTTGATATATTCTGATTTAATTACGCGATGCATGCAAGAATACAAAAGAACGAGGTGGCCTACATACAGACGTTCTCATCGTAATTAGATAATCAACGGTAGCGATAAATGTGCATTCATGTAATAACAATGGGAGATACTTAAAATTACTTATGCGAGACACTTAAAATTACAGGCATCCACGGAAAGAGGGAAAAAGCATCGCTTTACCTTCTTGATTTGCGAGCGGAGCAACGCGGGAAACCCTACGAAGCCGAAGAGAATGCCGACGACGAACATGACGCCACCACCGATTCCGAGTTTCTTTATGGACACCATCTTCACACTCTGCGGAAACATCAAGCACTCGGTTATAAACCAGGAGGTTTATTTCAGACGCATAACGAATATTAAATATGCTCTTTTAATTTTAGCAAGGGACTCAAGTGTGACACTCTATTTTTCTTGAAACTCAACACGCATATGACATGACATTTTATATGTAATACTTTATATCAGCCCGCATATGACATGACATTTTATATGTGATACTTTATATCAGCCCGTACAGAGAAAACGATTTGTTGAATCAAATAAATGTTCCTTTAGAACAGTCCAAACAAATTATTTGGTTGACACAACAAAAATATTTCTTTGGAACTAAGCCGCAAATAAATATTTTTGCGTTAAACAAAATTTTGTTCGATCAATCAAAAAATTCGTTTGGACTATTCCAAAGAAGTGTTTATTTGATTCAACCAAATAGTTTTCTCTGTACGTTTTTTAATTTGCATAATTATTTAGACAATTGTTTATGGGTTTTGGATTTATGGATTTCAGGTTAACGGGTTTATGGGTTTTTGAGTTTTTTATGAATTTTGAGTGCATGAGTTTATGTGCTTATAGTTTTTAAGTTTATGTGTTTTAGATTTACATATATAGGCTTATAAATATCAATTTTTACGTACATCGTTATTTCGAGTTTTATTTATACAATCGTCTAAATAATTGTGCAAATTAAAAAACGGGTCAATGTGAAATATCAAATATGAAATGTCATGTCATATGCTATGTGCATTCTGAGTTTCAAGAAAAATGGCATGTCACACTTGGATATTATCCCTTGTAAGTTCCGTTTTTCTTATACGAGTTGATCACATATAGTGTTGTTTCAGCTTAAGAACTTTCCTCGCGCATTATTATAATTGATATCGAAGAGTGATGCTTGGTCAATCGTGATTTACACAAACTGTTAATACCGTTCAACCCGAATCGAATTAAGTGAAATTTCGGATAATAACGAAAACGACGAGTCCGCCACGATCGCGTTCGAGCGAATTTTCATGCTTTTTCGAAACGCCGCATTTTGAAACGATTTGAAACTTTCAAACGATCGGAACCTTGTTGTATTCTTCGAGGACGCGAATCACTTTGTCCAGCGCTCTGCCGAATGGGACGAAGTTCAGCAGCTTCGTACGCTTCAAGGTGTCGTGTGTACGCCGAAGTGTGCGAACAGCGACGTCATATCGCTTCGAAGTCGTCACGTTCGCCTTTGCTTCTCGGTTTGCCAGCATTTCGATTCGGAAGAAATCACTGCGTCGATGCGAAGAAGATCTGAGAGACCGCCGTGTGAAATTCCTCCAGACAACCCGTCACGCGTACAAAAGCGCGCAAGATGCCATGACGAATGTACGACACGTCGTCAACGTGTTGTTGGAAAATTATCGTTGATAAAATCTTAAATAAGCTATAAATACAATGCGAATATCCGTCGAGCAAAGTCCGCGAGGAACTATCGCTTATAAATAAGTCCAAATAAATAAATTGAATTATAACGTGAAAAGAAGTAAATGCAGTACCGTTAGAATTAATCTCTCCGAGCGGGAAGGATCACGATTTCATGCTCTAAATATAGTTACGATAAAAATCAAGCTATCCGAAAATAATTCGTTCTATGCAACTACTCGTTCTCGTCCGTTACGTTAGTCCCTCTATTTCTGTTCTGTGTTTGTCTAAACGAGTGCGTAATCTTCTTCTTCTGTGTATCAGTTCCGAGTATCAGTACTGTTATTCGGTATATTGGCTCAATGTACGATATCGCGTATTGGCGTTCCTCGTCGTGCAGTTTCTGCAGGTGAAATTCCACCGGTGGAAATTCACATTTCCTCTCCGTTACATCTAGAAGCAGATCACAGCGGCGATCAAGTTCAAGTTACTTCTTCGTCGCTTCTTCGCTCGTGGTCCTTTCTCAACACGTCAGTTGTACTCTCATCCCTCTTTCACCGAGAAGCAAAGCGCAGAACGTGGGAAATAATCTCGGCCCGTCGTCGGAAATCACGTAAGGGAGCGGGTCGCGATTCGCAAGGCGGACAGTGTTCGACTTTCGTTCTACCGTCTTCGCACCTGTACGTTCTCCTGGCCAATTTCCGCGCCACCCTCGTCGCCGTTGATCGTGCGCGGCTCGTCACTAACGGACTGTCCGCGCGATAATAACACCGATGTCTTACACCGGGTCGGCGTCGGCGTACTCCTGACTTGCTCAGCCCCATCGTGGATTTCTGTCTCCTTTGGCTGGTCTGGCGTGGCATCTTGAGCATCGGCACACGGATACACTAGCGACGACGCGATTGAAAACGCGCAATTTACGCTCGCAAGATGATTCAGCTAAGTAAAGACGTTCCTAGAGCTGCTCGACGAAAGTTACGAAATAACGTCCGATTCAGGCCGCGCAATTTTACGCTCTTTGACACAAGGAGAAGATATAGATTAACCTACGGCAGGACTTTCCGCGGAGCTGTATCTCTGTAAAGTTCAACGAGGACTGCGCGAAAACAATGGGTGCGTTCAGAAGACACAACGATTACACAACGATTGAGTAATTAGTCAACGTAATTGGTCTAAAGTTAGGGATCTAACAGTAAGGATCAATAATCACTGACCGCTCACTGATCAGCTATGTTTTCTGAATGCAACCAATGCAACACTGCGATTTGTGTCTAGTAATGCTTTTCAGGAACTATCGCTTTTCACTACGCAAGTACATTAGAATACAGTTTCAGGTGAATAAATTATAATTTACTAGAAATAAGAATGAGCCACTATAGTAGCGTACCGTTCAAAAAGATGACATACGTGAAAGCCACTATAGTGGCGTACAGTACCTAAGAGGTTAATAATGAAAATATAAATTAATTGTATTAATTAAATTAGCACAAAAAAGATCTGTTACATATGGACAACTAAACATAATTTGCTATATTAGTCAATTTTTCTTTGATGCAGGAGCCAATTTCCTTGCTGTCATAATAAGGAAATCTGCTCCTGCAACAAAAAAAGTAGCCAAAGCAGTAAATTATGTTTAGTTGTCCATCTGTAACAAATTTGCTACGTTAGCTACTTTTTTTGTTGTAAGAACAGACTTTCTTGTTATCATAGCAAGAAAATAGATTCCTGCAGCAAAGAAAAAGTAGCTAACACAACGAATTATATTTAATTGTCGATATGTAGCAAATTAGTTTGCTGCTGCAACAAATTATTTTTTTCCGTTATTGCAATAAAAACAATTTCTTTTGCGAGAGAACGCGTCGATACTTCCGCTTTCACGTTCTATATAGATCGTCTATTTTGTTCTTCAAAAGTATTAAAACATAGCGGGATTGATCGGACGTTATACCTTCAAGAGCTAGTGACATATGACATTGATGAGTTATTGATTGACCGATGGTTGTCCCGTTTGTCGAAGGATCAACCACTTACAACAGCGTATCAGTAGATATATTTCAATTGCGCAATTTAGCTGTTTGCTACTGTAGCAGTAGAAATAGACCGATTATTTAGGTTCGCCGCTTCTACACACAGCATTGTTCAAACAAGCTTTCAGTGAATATATCGTTTGGAAAAAATACATATGAATTATAATAAACAGACCTTGAGAATGACTACGTTAATAAGTACGAGCTGCCTCTATATATCTTAGACTCAGATTGCAATTGCGGCGGTTATTTGCTGGTATATGACATTACGATCAATTCGCAAGTGCATTAATTAATCGAGAAACTAATATCGAAGTAATTAACATTGCTGTTAAAGTAGTCTAATAATAATGCAATACCTTCAAGAATAACGAGATATTCCCTTCAAGTGAAAAATTAGTTCTTAAATCTTAGTCTTCAAAATAAAAAATCATTCGTATGTGTTAATTAAATTTGAGGTGTATCGTATGACACAAAGAGCCCACCATTCGTCACAGACATTGCAGATCTGTGTTTTATGTCTACAATAATATAATTAAAAAAAAAAGAAAGAAAAAATTTTGAAGAAAAAAATTGTTGGAATATCTTAAAATTGAATACTCTTATTATTTTATATATTTGTGTATCTTAATGGTGAACTTGCCTCATTTTTGAGGTTTAAGTATTAAGGTAAAAATATAAATTCTCGGACATGTACCTAATTTTGGACATTCTTATGGTTTTGATATTCAAATATAAATATTTAAACTTTCTATATAGGATATGTTGCTCATTTGTTGCAACAATGACATAACTAGAAACATATGATTTTTCAGGAGATGCGATTTAATTTGATATTTTAGGCTTTCACGATGTTCATGCATATTAGATTTGATTTCCGGGTTTGAGCCGCGTGGATTCTTCTTTGTTTGATTCCGACGTTTCGCGGAAACTTCAGTCTGCTTCATCAGGGCCCATACAAGGCCATATAGCACGTAATATGTACAATATCACAGTGATATTTCCATAATATTTCTGCGATATTGCAATATTACGGAAATATTATTGTGATATTATGTAATATTACGTGCTATGTGCGTGAAGGATCCTCCCACGTGGAAGAATCCACGCAGCTAAAACCCAGAAACCAAATCTAATACACGATTTAATGTTTTAAATTGTTATAATTTTGCATGAGAATTTTAAAATATCATATTGACATAATTTAGTAAGTAATTGTCGTTTTAGCTGTAAAAAGTACATGTACTAACCTTCCTCCCTGTACTAATAACTTAATAAGGGCGATTTTTTAGTTATGTCATTGTTACAGCAAATGAGTGATATGTATATATGTTATATGCATGTTATATACGAAAGACCGAGCAACCTCCGCATGGTACACCTTGAATAATACTAATGCCGGCGGTACTGTAACATTTAAAGTTTCATTACTCAAAAAGTACTTAATGAAAAAATACGTTATTATAGTATTTTGGAAAGCTCTTGAGATAAGCTATAAGAATATGCAATAAAAAATAGGGGATTTTATTTAAAAAAATCAACTTGATCTTGAAATAACCTTGAAGGTCAAATTCAAGGCCATTGTACACATTTTAACCCTTGCAACTTTTGTATTTAACATTTTTTTCCAAGATGCATCCCTGACGAATGATTAAGTCGTTTCCATACTTTTCGAGGACCCTGTATGATGTATATGTATATAAATACTATATGTATATATGAATATATGTATATATGTTTATATGTTTGTATATATGTATATATGTATATATGTATATATGTTGTATATATGTATATATGTTTCATATTAAAAGTTTAAATATTCATATCTAAAAACCAAATGATAAAAATGTCCAGGATTAGACATATATTCGGAAAAATTGGTACTTTTACCTTTTAATATCTTCTTTATACAAAATGGCGGCTGCGCTGTTACAATATATTACGGTATGTATACAGTCCGAATTTGCAAGATTATATATATATAACTATACCAAGTATCCACGGATAAAATATCCACGGATAAAGAATTTTAGTTTGTGTATGATCTAAATGGGAACCAGACAAGAAATAATATCTCTGTTACTGTGACCGAAAATATTCGTCTGAACGTTTTAGCTACATTAAGACTCGATTGAAGTGACTGAGAGCAATTGGTTGAGCGGAAACCTCCCCTATAGAAATTTTTCTTTTCCTTCAACCGAGTTTTGGCTCCCGGATAACGGAAAATTCAGTTACATTAACGGAGTTATTTCTTCCGTGTAAGCGCGAAATAGAAATTATTTTTATGTCTTATTCTAATTTCCAACTTGCAAGATACTGCAATATGAATAAACCTATATATATATATATATATAT